TGATTGTCAGATTTTTCCACCTTGTTTCCCCCAGGATTTGCCTTTGATGAGCTGGAAGTCTGAGTTTGAGACTTGTTTAGGTGTCTTCTCATTTTTATTTTTTTGTTGTTGATGGTTTTGGTTTAATTCCTGTGTTGATAATTCTATATTGCTTATTATGAGTATCTTTATTGCTAGTATTTAGAACCCTTAGGGAATGGTTACTTCTCAGAGGTGTCTTCAGTAGCTGGTCTTTAGATTTTGAGTTTGTAATGATCCTTAGTCTCAGTTTTGGTATACCAGGAAGAAGATTAGAACAATCACCTTGCCCCAGGTAATACATCAGCATCAATCATACTATCAAATATAGCTTAGAAAATGGCAAATTGTTGTAACTATTACTCACCACCTTTAACTGGATGAACTAGATTAAAATCAAGGACTAACCAGAAATATATTTGCAGTAAATAAACCCTTCAGTATAGCAAATTTACCCTTTGGGATGAAGACTTAGAAGGAGTTTGGGGGGGATAGAGAGATAGGAGGAGAGGGAAAGGTTAGAAATGGGGCTAGAGGACATAGGAAGAGCATGCAAATGTCAGGAAACTGGTGAAGACAGGAGGAAAAGAGAGAAGGAAGGAACAAAACCAAGAACGGAGCAATCTAACAGCAACAGGAAAACTAGAAATGTTCATTCATATTCACTCTCAGAAAACCAAGAGTGATTGAGAAAAGGGGGAAAAAAGCAAAATGGTACAGAAAGAGGAAGAAGAAAGAAAAAGAGAAGGAGCAAAAAAGGGGGCTGTTCAGGGAATGTCTCTGCTGTCACAGGTAGGGAACATGGGCAGCAGTGTGCAGATTGAAGTCGATTAGTCTAGGTAAGCCAGCCGTAGTACATTGAGATTCAGGTTGGTTTCTGGCTGCAAGGCCCAAGTTGAGCTCCTTGACCTCCTGCAGGTTTAAACTCTGCAACGTTCTTCAGGCTCTGCAGGCCACCCTTTCCCTGAAGCAAGTCTGGGTTCCTGTAGGGGTGCTGATCCCACCAACTCAGCAACTGCTATAGTCCAAGGACTTTCTTCACTCTCCCAGTGGGCTGCGATTTTCATCAGCAAGTCTGGGAGAGGCTCTCTCTCTGCTGTTCACTGCTGCTCTATCTTCTTGAACTTCTGATCTTTATGGCCCCTAGCGACTCTGTCCTGTGGATTGGGATCCCTGCATGGTCCGCAGCATAGTCTGGGGCAGGACAGTGGGCCTCCTTGCAGTGCCCCATGTTATTCTAATAAAGTCTCTTTCTTGGCTTAAATTAGGCAGAACAAATTCTGTTGCACTCATCCTAAGAACCCTAAATGGTAGCCTAAAAGTTTCGTGAAAGAAAAAAGTGACATTTGTTTAGTTAGTCATGAATATGAATAGGCTTTCTAGTTAATATATAGAATACATCCTGGAAGATTTATTGGAAATAAAGTTGGAAAGATTGCTCGGGTGAGGATTGTGGAGAACCTTGACTGCTAGAATCAGGAGATCTTATCAAAGCCACAGTTTTTTTTATCTTTATTAAGTTTATTGGTACATTTTAGTTATGCAGTACAGTTACATTCATCATTCTGATCTTGTACCTTTGCATGACTTAACTTGGTTCTTATTTTTCCCCATTCCCCAGCCTTTCCTTCACTCCTCCACCCTTCCCTGTTTACAAAGACATTGTTTCCATGTTTTTCCTTTTCACATATTTTTTCTTTTCCCTTTTCACATATTTTTTCTTTTCCCTTTTTATCATTCCCTACCCCTCCCACTTCTACTCTTTTAGACCTTTTCTTCCTATTACACAATATCAATTATACATTTTGTTTTTCACACCAGAGAAACTATTTGGTATTTACACGTGTGTGACTAATTTCACTTAAGAGATGGCCTCAGTGTGCATCCACATAGCTATAGATGTCTCTAGTTTCTCATTCTTTATGGCTGAGTAGTACTCCTTTTTATTTTTTAAAAAACACATCTTTTTTATCCAGTCTCCAATTGATGGGCAATTGGGCTGTTTCCAAATTTTATGTATTACAAACTATGCTGCTATAAACATGGGTGAGCATATATCCTTATGGTATGATTCTTGTAATTCTTTTGGGAGGATGCCTAGCAGAGAAATAGCTGAGTCAAATGGGACTTCCAATCCTAGTTGTTTGAGGTATCTCCATAGTGATTTCCACAGTGGTTGCAACAGTCTGCACTCCCACCAACAATGGAGAAGGGTTCCTATTTCCCCTCAACCCTACCAGCGTTTGTTATTGGTTGATTTCTTGATAGCAGTCATTTTTTTGAAGATAAAATTGAAGAGAGGGGTAGGCAAGGAGATTGGGATGTCTGAGTGTTCTGTGACAGCCTCTTTTGTGAATGCTTGTACTTTCCTGCATTATTTATTCAATTCATCATTTTTTGAGAATTGATTCTATGTGCCAGGCTTATTGCTATATTTTTAGTACTATAAAAATCTTTAAGACATCTGTTTTCAATGCTCCCAAGCTGAAATGTTAATCACACCTGTTACTGCAAGAGATAAATCATTATGTTTATGTAAACATTATAGGTATTTTCTGTAAGAGAAAGTGATTAACTCTTTTGTTGGGTTAGGGAAGACTTCAAAGAAGTGGTGATTTTTGAAGAGTTTCAAATAGTAGTTTGCCAGGCTTTCACAGTGTAAAAGGGTAGAAACAATGGGATTAGAGGTGAACAGTAGTGGAAGATTTACTGAAATGAGAAAATGTTACATAACAGCTTTGCTATTCATGCTCTTATTCTTTTTTGTTTTGGTTTGGGAGAAGATACCAGCCACTAGAATGTCTCATTACATGTTTTTCTTGATGAAGAGTTAATCTGAATATATGTATGTATATATATATATATAGATAGATAGAGAGAGAGAGAGAGAGACACACACACACACACACACACACACTTCAGACTACAAAAGTCTGGAGAGAACCTGCTTTTTCCACTCATACCTAAAAGTAAACTTGGGAGAAGTTTGGAGCTGTGTTTTTTATATATGTATGTATGTTTTGCCTAGTTTAAAAATAGGGTATGCAATTAAAACATTTGTAAATTTTTAAAAATGATCAAAGATTTAGGATTGTAATCACATTATGTGATAGTTTAAAAATGACAAGAAAAGAAATGCAAACACTAAACTCCAAGGAACACCAGTAATTAAAAGATGGGCCAAAAAAGAGGAGGCCCAGGAGAGGATACTGAGACAGGGTAAGCATTTAGGGGAATCAGAGAATCGGGGTGTACTGGAAGCCCGGGGAAGGCTACAGGATAGGGTTAGAAAGCCACAGGAATGAATAAAACTAGAACTCAGGAATGTCTATTAGTTTGCATAAAGCAATGGTTACAGAGCTTATTTATTTATTTATTTATTTAGAGACAGGGTCTCACTATGTAGATCAGATTGCCCTGGAACTCAGTATGTAGCCTAGGCTGCTCTCGAACTCCCAGGGATCTTCCTGCCTCAGCCTCCCGAGTGCTGGGATTACAGGCGTGCGCCACCACACCCGTTTTACAGATTCTAGTTAGAGTGCTTTCTGTGGAATGTTGGGGACAGAAGCTGGATTATGGGAGTGTAAGGGCAGAGGAGAAAGGGAAATGGTCTACCCTACCTTTCAAGAAGATTGGCTGTGGATGAAGGAGAGAGGTATTAGTGGCAAAGGGGAATACATGTCAAAGGTGCCTTTTTGTTTTGTTAATGAGAAAATTGATGTACATTGTTCCTGGAGGTCCATGATATTGACTTTCCTAACAATGGAATGCCTTAAAGACATCAGGATGTTCTGTGTGATATGTACATATATGATTTCACTCTCATTCAAGATGGGTTGTCTTATTTTATATTCCATTCTATCACAAAATACTGTGTTCTTCTATAGCTGTGTGGAGATTTTAGAGAGAATAGGATGTGCCAGAAGCATATATATTTGGAGTTCTAAGTTAAAATTTGAATCTGGCCTTATGTGGGTTTACCTTATTCATGGAGGAGAAAATCAAGCTGATTCTATTCCAAATGTGTGTTTGGAATTTGGGAGAAATTTAGAGTATATACAGAACAGCTATGTGTCAGCCCCCTTACGCCCCACAGTTTGGAGGTAAAAAGGGAAGGAATTTGAGTGAGCAAAATCTAATGTGAATCTAGTAGAATAATAATTCCTTGTAAACAGCATCACTTAGGATTGATCTCTTTCTGAAGGACTTGCCAGCCAGTAGGTGTGCCCATTCTGAGCTTTGTGACTTTTCTAGACCATTGCCTAGAAAAAGAATTTGTTGGCACAAGAAACCAAACCATGACAAAGTAAGTAAAACGTGCTGTAGTTAGTTAGAACCAGAAACGACCTATACCCATCTCTCTCTCAACTTTCTTCCTAAACATGGCAACTAAAATTGTGGCTTTGGGTTTGAAACTAGTAGTCCAGACTTCAAATATTTCTTCTGTTATACCTTATTCTTAATTTATTGAAAATACAATCTTTAGGCCAGGGATTTACCTCAGTGGTGCCTCGTAAGTGCAAGGTCCCAAGTTCGATCCCTGGTGCCAAAGAAAAAAGAAAATACCATCTTTAAAGGATTTTATGACCTCGCCCCATTTTTATAAATGTATTTATGTGTGATCAAAAATTACATTTGAAAATCAATTTTTCCCAGTTTATGACTTTGGAGATTCCCCAGGCCATCATTATACCTGCTAGGGTTGAAATGGTCTCTCTGAAAACAAAATTATTTTTAGCCTGTCTTAAAATATATGGCATCTATTTACAATTAAGCATTGCATGGGATTATGTTTTGCTAGGTACCCTAGACTTAGTGGCTTAATGTGGTTTCTAACCTGCCAACGAATGATGTGTTCATTTTACTTTATGTGCTCTAAGATAATTGATTGGTCAGAAAGGAAAAGTGTATTTAAAAATTGACACTTAAAAATATTACATTGATTTGTATCCTTAGCAATTCATTGATATTGTTTGTTTCAGATGAGAAGAAACAGATGGTTGCAAATGTGGAGAAACAGCTTGAAGAGGCAAAAGAACTGGTATGTGGACTAACGAGTATATTGTATGTAAGGTACAGTGCTTTAGGCTGATGCTTTCCTCTAGCCGTATGCTTGTGGAAAGGTGAAACATTACTAATTAGTGCTTTTTGTTAATTGAAGGAAATTTAATAGCTTCTTGAGATTTCACTCTTTGTAATAAAGGGGATTCATTAAATGTCAACCTATAATTTTTATTCCATCATAATCCTTTGTCATAAGACTGCTAAACAGCTAGTGTGAGTAAAGACATACCATACACAGGTACCATACACTGTGGTTAGCATATCACTTGCTTTATAACATTAAACTTTCTTGAAAGCCTTGCAAGACAAGCACTGTTTGTCAGAAACTCTGGAGGGTCTGAGACTTTCCCCTACTTGCAAGCAGAGTGAGCTTGCCACAGCTTTACAGATGGTTACAGAAGTCAGAGACAGACTCATTTTACACAGGACAGCAGCTGCCAGAGCTTCAGCCTGGTTACATCAGTTCCTGAGCCCAGATGCCACAGGGGTGATGCAGGCCTAGTAGTATGCTGACACGAGTAGCAGAGCACCTTACAGGAGAGGAGCACAGACCCCGGTAACAAGCCACTTTATAGAAATATGGAAGCAAATCTTTGTCCCAGAGGGACGTGCTAGTTCTTTCGTCAGAGTTACTTCCTGTGAGCAGAACTTGAAAAATGGCCTGGACTGAGTAGCTAGAACTCGCAGTCTTGGCATAGCCAGCAGGCCACGTAGGAGCAAGAGAGAACCAGGCCGGCGCAATTCCCAGCACTCGCCACTGACTTGTACACGGGACTGAGGCTGGAACAGAGTACATAATTTATCCGAGGTCCCATACCCTGGTAAGTGGTACAGTAAGACCCTGTACCTAGATAGGCTAAAATCAGAGCTACAGCTTATCCACTACTTTTTCATTGGAATAAGATCATACATAGGGAGCAAAAAAGAGGGTGAAAAGTTATTGTGTCCCCGTTTTGGCTCGGAAACCAAGTATTCCAAGTGTGAGTCAATTTGTTACTGTGCATTATGGTCCCGAATGAGTTTATTACTGCTTTTCTAAGTACTGAAGGGTACTTAGTGGTTTTCCTCTAGGACTACCTACTGAAAGACTTAGGACAGTTCCTAAACTGTTCCTGTTAATTAGCATTCCTTGGTCAAAAAACCTAGAAAACTATACCTTAAACAGATTAGGGAGTTGAGGTTCCTCTTTGAATGTTCTTTCCAGAACCTTGTTGGGCCTTTAGATAGTTCAAGGACATTATGAGTCTCTAGGAAAGGACTGTAGAGGGCAGCCAGAGTCTGGAGCGTATTTGTTGCGATGAGGGCACCTGAGGGCTGCAGCTTTGGGGAGCATTAAGGGGAGAGAGGCTCTTCTTCCCAGCCGCACGGTGCACACGCCCTCTGTGTTCCCCCACAGGAAGGCATGGCCTGCAGAGCTGCGCTCCTGCTTCTGTTATTAATTCTCTTTTAGGCATCGGGCTCTGTGAGGTCCACTGTTAGGCCCTGGTGGCTGCCGCCGCTGTGTTTGTACCATGGCAGCTTTACCTCCCTTTCCGTGACTTCTCATATCTGCCTCTCTTTTGAAAGCTTCCTTTTTAAAGACAAATGTTTTTCACCTTACTTTCTTTTTATATCAAACTGCTTCTTTTGTGCTGCTTGGTTTTCACGTAAAAAGACTGACTTTTAGGTACCCGAGCAGCCAGTCAAGACCCTTCTTCCCTCTGGGTGGCAGGGAAACCATAAATAGTGCAACTGGTCAGTATTTCAGTCCTGAGTTGTCTTGTCATATTCTTGAGATCCTTGTAGCAGCTTTTCACTATCGAGTTTGTTGTGATTTGTTTGCCTTCTTCTGGAGACATTGTGTTTATTTTGTGATGATAAACAGCTGGTGTTCTGACAGCTATGGTTTTACTATAATAAGGAGTATAGAACATAGCTTCCCCTCACGGAGCTTATGGTCATCTTTAGTTATTATTAATTGTGGAGTTTTGGCTAAGATACATATTTTTGTTTGTTTAATATGATCAGAACAAGTTCAGACCCAGCCTGGGCAACACAGTGACTTAGCAAGACGTTGCATTTAAAAAAGAAGTTAAATTTATAAATTAGATGGGGACACGGCTCAGTGCTAAGGCCTTGGATTCAATCTTCAGTACCACAAAAACAACACAACCTCTGGCTGATTTATTTAGTTCTGACAGTTGCTTGGTAAAGACAGTGATATTGCATACGACCTGTTTGATGAGGACTCTGACTGTCAGAGTGAATTGTGTGTCTGCTGAGCGGTCAGTTTGTATTCATCTGTTGGTCGCCGGAGTGAGCACCTTAGTTATCCAGTGGTCTTCCCAGCTGCATGACTGTTGTGACAGCATAGAACATGTACACGTTATGTGGCTTCATTTGTTTTTTTTTGTATTTCCTTTTTATTTCTCCCCTACTTTTAATCTTATTTGAAATGTCCTTGTAAGATGTCTTAAACAAAAAATGTAGTTAACTCTCAGACTTGGAGTTACGTGGACTTTTGCAGTGATTTGGATGAAACTTTTCATCTTGTTAGAACTAAGTATGTACTGATGATTTCAGAGAAGTGCTTTAAGTAATTACTTTAGGTAACAATTTTATTTATTGGTGGTTCACAGCTACGTTGAGACACGTCAATAATTATTTTTATGCTTATTCGTAAGTGTTTGCTGCACGTAACAATTGCATTCATCGTGGGGGGTTGGTACATGGACATATCTTCTCCGCCTCCCTCCTCTCTCCCCCTCCCTCCAGATCTGAGTCTCCTTGTCATTTGCAGAGCGTCTACCTCCTGATTTTATAATATCTGTCTTTTATTTTGCTCCTTAAATTATATCTTGAGTTCTCATAGAAGAGAAACCATGAGTTATTTGTGCTTATGTGTCTGATTTATAGTGGCACCTCAGTGCACAAACTTGATTCTTTACACAATTCTGGTCATAAACCAAATTGGACAAGAACCAAATCATGTTCACTGGTTAGGTTCAGTGTTGACCTTATGGGAAAATTTGATTTGGTTCTCATCTAACTTGGTTTGTAACCAGAATCATGGAAATAATTGTTTGTGAACCAAGGTTCCACTATATTTCACTTAACTTTATGGTCTTGGGTGCATTCATTTTCCTACAGATGATTCAAAGTCATCATTTTTCGTGGCTAAGTAGTATTCCACACTGTGTAAACACCACATTTTCTTATCTATTCATGTGTTGATGGACATATAGGCTGCTTCCAAGATTTAGCTATTTAGAATTGTGTTTCTGTGAATAAATGTGTGCATATATCGCTTTAATATGATGTCTTTAAGTCTTTGGGAAAGGTACATAGAAGGGGAATAGCTGAGTTGAACGAAATTTCTAGTTTTAGATTTTTGAGGAATTTCCATAGTGGTTGTACTAGTTTTCCTTCTTGTCAACAATATAGAAGGGTTCCTTTTTCTCCTCACAGCCTCACCAGCACTTATTTTTGATTTCTTGATAATGACCATTCTTTTTAAGGTAAGATAGAATCTCGTTGTTTTTAGTTTGCATTTTTCTCGTGAGCAGTGATGTGGAACTTTTTTCCCCCATGTATTTATTGACCATTTGTACTTCTAAGAAGTGTGTGTTCATTTCACTTGCCCATTTTTAAATTTTATTGGGGGGGGTCTAATTGTTTTGAATTCTTTATATATTCTAGATATTAGTTCTTTGAGGAGTGGCTAGCAAAAGATTTTCTCATTCTATAGTTTATGTATTCACTCTGATTATTTTCTTTGCTGTGCAGAAGCTTTTTATTTTGATATAATCCTACTTGTTTTTTCTTGATTTTTTTCTTTTCTTTCTTTTTTTTTTTTTTTTTTTTTTTTTTTTTTTTTTTTTTTTTGTTGTTGTTGTTATTGTTGTTGTTGAGGCAGGTTTTTACTCTGTAGTTCAGACTGTCCTTGAACTCACTGTGGAGCCCAGCCTGGCCTCGAAATCATGGTGATCCTCCTGCCTCAGCCTCCCAAGTGCTGGATTAAAGGCATGCACCACCATGCCCTGCTTTGATATTATTTCTTGTGTCAGGGTTCTGTTCAAAATGTATTTACCTATACCTATGTCTTCAAGAGTTTTGCTTATTTTATCTTCCAACAGATTGTTTCTGTTCTGATATCAAGGACTTTGGTCCATTTTGAGTTTAGTTTAGTACATGGCAAGAGGTATGGGTCTAGTTTCAATCTTCTGCATGTGGATAGCCAGTTTTCCCAGCATCCTTTGTTAAGGAGTCTGTCCTTTTTCCAGCGTGTTTTTTGCCCCTTTGTCTAAAATCAGATGACTAAATGTGCCTGGGGTTATGTCTACATCCTCTATTCTGTTCCACTGATTTACAGAGACTTGTCAATAATTTAAATGATTACTGTTTAAATCAATTAAAATTTTCCTCTGTTTCTTAATAAAGTTGAGGTCTGTTAATTGAAATCTGATTTTCTGGCTTATATATATTCTATATTTGGTCTCTAACTCTGAACAATGAGTTTTATTAGTAACAAATTTATATCATTACAGAAATAAATGATAGGAATGCTTTGAAAAGCAAAATACATTGCAACATTTTTGCATGTTGTGCTTATAAGACATGGCCCTGGGCCAATTTGTCATTACTGGTTTTTATTTTTAATGTCAAATATGAATAAGCTACCTCTGTGACCTTGTATCACCATTACCACAGTTAAGATTAATCTACTGATGAAGAGACCTGTTCTAAGACTATTACAGGAATTACCTAATTTAGTTTTCACAGCTGCCCTAGGAAAGAGATGCTGCTTGTAGAAATGAGAAGAATAAGGCAGAGAGATGATAAGAGCCCTGTTCAGTTTCCAGGGATCAATTAAGTAGTGGAGCCTGTGATGTGAACACGGGAGTCTCACTGCTGAGCCCGTGTCCTGAACCATTATAGTTGTCTGTATCGCTGCCCGTTAAACTCTCTTGTGTTCTACCCAGAGTGTTATATGATGACAGGTTGTTAAAAAGTGCCCCAGTGTGACTTCAGTAAGTCATGTGTGATTTAGCATATTGTTGTAAAAACATACAACTCCTTATCGTTGTGGTTATAAAGTATAAGGAGTTGGGTGGAGGCCAACAGCACATGGAAGGAGGTTTTCCTCATCAGAAAAGTCTTCCAAAGGAAATTTCACCAAGTGGCTAAAGTGGCTGGCGTCCATGTGTTAGCCACAGGCCTTGGTGATGTGGCTTATCTTCCCTGATGCTAGAGATTCCTGCTAAGAAGACCAGACCAGGTTGGACTACATGATCAAAGATGGACTCTTTCAAGGATATTGAAATCAAATTATTGAAAATGTTTGGATTACTATATATGCTTTGTTAGAAATTCTCGGGAAAGTAAACAGCTGGGCGCTTTGTGTGTCTCTTGTCAAGTACTCAGTAGCGACTTATTGAACTAAAACAAAAGATAAGCTGAGAAATACTTTCAGTGTTGGTTGATCCTGGGCAGTCATCACCATGTGCCTGATTCCTCAAATATAAAATGAGGATTTGGAGCTAAATGCTTTCAGCTCCAAATATGTGTCAAATAAGCAATAAGCATATGGTGTAAATTATACTCTTTCTCTCCCTTCTAGCTTGAGCAGATGGATTTGGAAGTCCGAGAGATACCACCCCAAAGTCGAGGAATGTACAGCAACAGAATGAGAAGCTATAAGCAAGAAATGGGAAAACTAGAAACAGATTTTGTAAGTTAAATTCCTTCCTCTGTTGTGCTTACTAATTTTTCAACTGAATTTTCACTTATGTTTTGTATTGTTTCCTCTTTGTGCCTTAATCGTTAAATGCATAGCCTTCAGGGGCTCAACAAACGAGAAGTGACATCTTTCATGATTTATGAATTTGAGATCTGATAGCTATAGAGATAGCTTACAATGCAATTTAAGGTTCGTTGGATTCATTATTCATAAATAGATCCAAATCATCTAGCCCTTTAGGTTTGGATAGTATTTATTGGTATTTAACATCTATTAGAATTTCACAACCCTGTATCTGACCTTGCAGAGTGTGTAGTCTATAAGTTGCAGTGTCCACGGAGGGACTGCAGGGTCCTCAAATCTCCCAAGAATATGTACTCATTTGTGGATGCAAGTTTCTGTGTGCATTTTTTCCTGGAATAAACTTTTAGATTTATTCTGTCTTAAAAGGGACATATTATAACACCATCAAAAAGAAAAAAAGAACTACCTGTACTTGCAATTAATAATTTGAATAAGTGATCATGTATTTGATTATTCCATTAGAATATTTAGCTTTTTCTTCCTGTATATATGGCTTTCAACTCTACCCACTTTGTAGCAAATTTAAAAATAAAAAAAAAATTTTTGGCACTGGGGATTGAAAAGATATAAATTTAAAGGCATAATGTTAATATTGCTGGTAATTAAAGTAGAAAGAACACAACTAAGCAAATCTCATTTTTGGTTGTATATTTGAGTGTAAAACAGAGCCTTAAGGTGTTATTTGCACACTTATGTTTATAGCCACACGTTCACACTACCAAAGAGGTGGAAGCAATCTGTATGTCTGTCGGTAGATGAACTAGCTAAAGGAAATGACTCTACACCTGATGGAATATTACTCAGCCTTCAAAAAGAAGGGAAATCTGATATATGCTATAACACTGATGAACCTTGAGAACATTGCACTGAAGGAAAGGAGTCAGTCCAAAGACAAATGCTTTATAAGTCCACTTACATGAGGTATCTGCAGTAGCCACGTTCTGAAAAACAGAAAAGTAGAATGGAAAGTGCCAAAGACAGGGGAGGGGAGAGAGAAAACAGTTGTTTAATGGGCGTAGAATTTCAATTTTACAAGATAAAAAGTCCTGTCGAGCAGCTAAACAATGTGAGTATATTTAACATGACTAAACTATGCACTTAAAAATGGTTAAAATGGGAAATTTTATGACATTTTTGTTTGTTTTTGGTTTTTGGTTTTTGGTTTTTGGTTTTTTGAGACAGGGTCTCACTATGTAGTTGAGCATGGAACTCACTATATAGCCCAGGCTGGTCTGGAACTCACAACGATCCTCCTGCCTCAGCCTCCCGAGTGCTGGGATTATAGGCATGTGCCACCATGCCCGGCCTGTCATAATATTTTATAATTAAAAGAAAAAAAATGTAAGAATACAGATTAAAGGGCTGGGGATTTAGCTCAGTAGTTCCGCCGCCTGCCTCACAAGCACAAGGACCTGAGTTCGATCCCCCGTACCAAAAAAGAAAAATACAGATTGAAAAATGTAAAAACCTTGCTAATAGTAAAAGGATAACGAAGTCAATATAAATGGTAGCTAACTGCTCTTATATAGGCTAGTGTATGAAATTAAGATTTCAGTAAACAAATTTCATGTCAGGTGCAGGAAGAAAAAGATGCAGGTGAGAAAGACCTGAGCCTTACCTGTGAGTGACGGATGCCATGTGCTGCCCCGTAAATCAGCTTTGTTTCTGAATCTGGGGTTCAGTTTCCTAAAGGAAGTCAAGGCCTTATAAGGAAGGGTCTCCCTGTGTCTGTTTCTCCCCAAGGTGTTTTACGTTTGGAGGTTATACCTGATAGGCTACCCGATACCTTTCTCTACCAGAGCCTGGAGAGAGGGTGGTTTGCTATTACACATCTTTATTGGTTATCTCAGTGAGTATTTTCCTGACAGGCTGAGATGGGCTGCCTTAGTTGCTGTGTCACCTTCTCGACACTATGGTGAAATGTCTGAGATAACCAGCTTTAAGGAGGAAAGAATGATTTTGGCTCCCAGTTTCAGAGGCTGCATTCCATAGTCAGTTGGCTCTGTTTTGGGGCATCTTGGTGGAGAGTGTGGTAGAGCAGGTCTGCTCACCTCGTGCAGCTAGGAAACAGAGAGACTGGAAGGGGCTGTAATTTTAGTGTCCCCTTCAAGGACACACCCCCAGTGACCTCACTTCCTTCCAGTAGGCAGCACTTCCTAAGATCCCACCAGCTCCCAATAGTACCACAGACGAGGATTTACCATGTGGGCCTTTGGAGGACATTTAAGATCCAAGTCATTAATAGTCACTCTGATGCAAACCCTTATTAAACTATGATCTTACCAATGAAAAAGAATCCATTATAGGCTGAATTCAGAAGAGAAATATAAATGATTGGTTTCTGTTCCCATGCCACTGAGCTAAATCCGCGGCCCTCTTCTGGGTTTTAGAAAAACTAAATGTATTAGTTTGCTTTAGCTCTCATAACGATGTACCAGTCTCAGTAGCTTCAGCAGCAGAAATTTGTTTTCTCACAATTGTGGAGGCTGATAGTCCAAGGTCAAGGTGGCTTCTTCTTGAGGCCTCTTCCTTTGGTTTGTAGGTACTCTTCACTGTCTCTCACAGTCTTCTGCATGTATCTGTGTCGTAATTTTCTCTTCTTATAAGGACAGCAGTTGTTGAATTAAGGCCTGCAATAATGCCCTCCTTTTAATGCAGTTGTCTCCGTGAAAACACTATCTCCAAGTACAGTCACATTCTCGGGACTAGGGACTAGGATGCCAACATAGTCCTTGCGCTTGCGAGGCAGGCAGCAGAACCAGTGAGCTAAATCCCTGGCCCATTGTTTAGTTTTAATCTTTTCTTTTTTAAGGTTTTTTCCCAAAGTGGAATTATTTCTATGGCTTATTATGTCATCTAACACAATGTTCAATCTACTTTGTTTCCTAAAGAGTTTAATATTGGGTAGAATCCTTTATTTTAGTTATTTGGAAATTATATTCTTGGCTAAGTATTCTTTTCTTTGCTATATTTGTATTATAAAGAAAAATGGAAGCAACAACTATGAATTTAAAATATAGACTGTAGGCTATCATTACATATTTATGCATATATATTTATGCTATATAGTATATGAATATCCCTCAAGAAAGTATCTCCAGAGCTTTCTTCTACTTCCATCAGCATACATCTTTCCCCACCAGCACCGGGTCTGTTGTGCAGTGATTTATAGTTTACGAAGCATTTTAGCGTGAATGGTTTCAATGCTGGTGTGAAGAGCAGACAAGATGGAGTCACATCCTCACTACACATGAGACGCCTGGAGGCTCAGACTGATGACAGACCCCTCCAACGAGACTTTCATGAGTACTGCAGTGTGCCAGACACTCTAGGTGCTGGAACATGCCACTGAACAAGATAAAGTTCTTGCTGTCATGAAATTTAAATTCTGTTGGAGTAACAAATATCTACTAGGGAGTATACTAAACAAATAAGCAAATGCATATAGATTATAACTGCAGAAAAATAAAGCAAGTAAATGGATAAAGAATGATCACAAAGGTCACTGTGACTGTTTTTGTTAGGGTGTTTTCTGTGGCTTACATAAGAGAAGAAGAGAGATGTGTGGTTATGAAGGAGGCAAAAGAAAGATCTCTTATGGCATTATAGGCTATAGTACTTGGCTTTTATTGGTTGGCAAGAAGCCACCGGAGGACTGAGACAGGTTCTTGCTATGTTACCCAGGATGGTGGCAAACTCCTGGTCTCAAGTGATTCTCCTACCTCAGCCTCCTGAGTAGCTGGGACTGCAGTCATACACCACCATGCCTGGCTCTGTGAGTGGTTCTTTGACTCTTGTTTTATAGCTTTCCTCATTTTACCTTCCCATATCACATGAGATATTTGAATAGAGTCCAGAAAATATTTCTGTAATTTCCTTGACTTGATTATTTACTTTTTACATTTAATTCTTTTCTTTTTCATTTTAAAGTGGATACCTAGAAATACTGAAGTTCAAGAAAAAGGAGCAGAGGTAGTCTTTCATCTCTCTGTGTGTGTACTGCACATGAATCAGTTCTCCTGTTCTCTTTATGACAGCAAGACTTTTGGCAGCACTTATTCCTGTGGGGAGAGGCAGAGGACAATACATACCTCATGGTCCACTTCCGTGCTTTCTCAGCCCCTTCTGCTCTTGCTGCTCTTTATATGCCTGGATTCTGTAGACTTCTCTACTTCCTCCACTTTTCTTCAGTACCCTCTCAGCCACTCCTTTGGGTTCAATGAGCATGTTTACAGGAACCTATAGTTCCAGTGCAGATCTCTTTACACCTCTGGATTGCTATTTCTAACTACTTACTGGACAGCTGTACTTGAGAGTCTGTTAGGAAGTATTATGGTTTATATCTAAATGTTTCCCCAAAGCTTCATGCACTCATAGGTTGGGCTTTGGGGAATAACTGGATTATGGGTGCATGATACTGGATTAGCTCACTGACTGGTTTAGCATAGTTTTGGGTGTGGCTGAATGTATTAACTGAAGACAGAAGGCCTACCCGGGATGTGGGTGGAACCAACCAATAGGCTTGTACCTTAATGGATTAAAAGAGAAAGAAAGACTAGCTGCTTCCTACTTGCCCTGCCATGGACTGTTTCTCCTCTGCCGTGTTCCTCTGCCATACTACCTTGCCTTGGAGCTAGCTGACTCTGGACTGAAACTTCTACAAACTGTGAGCTAAAATAAACCTTTCCTCCTTTAACTCGTGGATGTTGGGTATTTTGTCTCAGCAAGGAGAAAGTAACCAAGACAGGCAGTAATGCTCAGTTGCTGTAAGAACCGGTCACTTCAGAGTTATCTCTAATTTTTCCTTCTCCGTAACATTCCATAGCTAATTGGTCACTAAGTATTAGCAGTCTTGTTCCTTAAATATCCCACGCATTCATCTCTGCTACTGGAAGCCTTTGTAGTTT